ATTGGAGATAAAATATTCTAGCTTATTCCTTGGACATGAGCAAATCCCTTTAGCTCTAAGGAAACTGAGCTTCCATAAAGTAAGAGGTTGCTGATTGAGGGAAAGAATCTCGTTCCTGCGCCTGCCCATCCAGCACGAATCGCCTAGCCACCACGCCCCTTTCCAGGGAAGGCAAAGGGAAGATGACGTGCAGCCTTGTGAAAGATGGTGAGATGTCGAGCATGGAATAGCAAGCATCTCCTTAATATCCCAAAGAAAGGAAAGACTGGATCTGTATGGCTGTTAAAAGTCGGTAAGGAAGTGTATTAACATAGTTCATACTGAGGTAAGACCTGAAGATAAGTTAACAGCACACATTCTTGATTTTTCTAGTATCTCACACTTCTGAAGATTCCTGATTTTCTTAAGCATCAGATTTATTTTTATTCAATTTCATAAATAAATAACTGTATTTTGAGACGGCAGTTTTCATTTCTTTATATTTATATTCTACCATTTTTACTTACTTATTCAAATAGCACTAGAAAAAAACAAACTCTTATGTTTTCCCCACTTTTTTTTTTTTTGAGACAGAGTCTTGCTCTGTCACCCTGGGTAGAGTGAAGTGGCATCATCGTAGCTCACAGAAACCTCAAACTCCTGGGCTCAAGTGATCCTCCTGAGTAGCTGGGACTCCAGACCCACACCATGGCATCTGGATAATTTTTCTATTTTTTGTAGAGACAGGGTCTTGCTCTTGCTCAGTCTGGTCTCAAACTCCTAAGCTCGAGAGATCCTCCTGCCTCGGCTTCCCAGAGTGCGAGGGTTACAGGCATGAGCCACGGTGCCAGGTTTTGTTTCCTCCACTTTTTTTTATTTCAACATATTATGGGGGTACAAATATTTAGGTTACATGTGTTGCCTTTCACCCCCTCCCTGGAGTCAGAGCTTCAAACGTGTCCATGTCAGTTGCAGCCCATGTTCCAGAAACTAACTGAAAGATACTGAGGATGCAAAGATGAAAACTACAATGCCCATGCCTTAAAGAATGTAGGAGGGTGATAGCATAATGTGCTCTAAAAGAGTGGTTAGAACATAGGAATCAGAGTTCAGAATACTTGGAGGGGATAACATAGGAGGAGCTGATTCTGGAAAAGACCCTGCAGCCTGTATGCCAGTCAAAGGAGTTGGAGTCTTCTCATCCAGTGAGCCACTCGAAAGCATGTAGCTAGGGAGTGTCTTAGACGACACTGGTGTATGGTGAAGCTTAGAAACTAGATGCACTTGAACTTCTTATCAATAGGAGCTGATGAGAAGAGGGAGGAAGGTTTCCATCAACCTTTTGAAGGAGACAAGGACCTTTAAAAAAATTACTAAAAGGCCATGGGGTTCCCAATATCTCTCAGTGGAAATATTCTCCCCCCCCAAAATTCTTTAACAGAAACAGCGACTGACACTCAAGCTTTACCTCAATGAAGTTAACGTTTCAGGGAACTACTAACAGAGAGAAGCGTGCTAGGAAACTCTCCACCATGTAAGAGTTCCCCAAGTCCTTACCTTTCACCCCAACCCCATCTGACTTCACATTGTATTAAATATTTGTAGGCAGCAAATCAAAGATTGAATAATGTATTCAATATACTCCTAATAACAATAGAAATGAAGTATACCTAAATGAAGATAAAATATTTCAGTATGTATAAAGTAAAATACCTTTTTACTGATAAATATAACTAAGAAGAACCATTTGGTACCATATGAATAGGATCCTAATACTTTGATAATTGCTATGTTATTTTAGCATTTTGATCTAATTTTGTTTTTATACTGTATCTAGTTGTTCCTATCTGAAGTTAACTTCACTGTTGCCCCAAGACACTTTTGTAAATAGGATGAAAATCTCAAAGGTTTTAATTATCTCAGTTAAATAGGAGATACTAGTATTTCTAACACTAGTACTTGAAATCTAATTAGAATCCCAAACTATAATCCCAAATGCTCTGGAAATTGCACCATTATGAGGCTATGTGCTGGGATTTAGTATTTATCCAAAAAAGATGAAATGATTTAGGAAGCAGTTAGATAATTAAGCTAATTCAGGTAAGGTGTTTTAAAACTTAATGGACACAATTAAAAAATAAAATGAGAAAACCAGATTTCTCATTATTTCTTTTCTCAAATTCACAGTTTGCTATATGCCCGATAACTTTTAAATGATAATAGTATAGAAAGTCTCTTATTAAAAACTTAAAGATCACTGGAAAATAAAACCCACAGATTTCTCTTTATTAATTCTTTCCTCAAATTCAACAATGCTTATGCTAGTGTATGTTCAATAGCTTTTAAATGATTAAGAGAAGGATCTTATTACTAATTTTTAGCATTACTGAAATCACATCTGCCATTAAAAGTTCGTGGAAAACTCAAACATTTTCCACAATATACCATTTCTGCTAAGTAGGTGGAATATTAAAAAAATTCAAATATGCTGGTAAATATCCTTACAAATCCACAGTAACTGTGGTGAATAAAATTACAATGTACACTGTGTTTTGAATAGAGATGTTCAGTGGACCATTTGCAAACTATCCAAATTTGCCAATTAAGTGACAGAGTAGCACACAAAAGAAACAATTACTGTAATGTTCTATATCAGAAAGGAAAAGCACAGCTTTTTACACAATGCTTTATATATATAATCCATGTGGGAGCAAAGCCCAATATCATAAGGAAAAACTAAATGCCTGCAAGGCACAGCACCGTGTGACCTGGGACACCTCCTTTGTAGCCAAACAAGCCTAAGCCACACCAAGGAAATGCTTCTGCGGTTGCTTCTTCATCAAGGAGTCTGCCTTTCGCCATCTTCATGAATTTGCAGATACTTGGTGCGGCCCAGATGCCAGCAGACTCAGATGAACCCCACGTCACTCTTAGTTCCAGATTCTAGGGAAACTGGCTAACGTGCAGTCTTTCCTTTTCCTGCCTGTTACAGTGTGGCTTGGTTAAATCTGAGATCCCAGTCTCACAGTTTGTTTGTTATAATCCCACAACGCTTCTAGTTCCCCTCATGACAGTAGCAACACCTCTAGGCCCATCTTAAGTGATATGGATTAAAACTGATCTCTTAACATCTCTCCTTGCCGCGCCATGAACTGCTGTTACCAAGCTAGAATAATTCTACCATTCGGAACCCAGGTCTCTGGCTTCGGATGGCTCTTTCCTGATGGTAAAACCGGAATGAAGCTGTGACCGCCCAACATTTTTCCCTTTACTAAGCCACCAGACCTTGGTAGAGGGGAGAAATCCTAATATACAGCCATGATCCTTTCTTGTCTCTCGTTTCTGATATTATGGGTAAAAATGAAACAGACAATTTTCTACTTATCTAAAAACTATGTAAAAGCAGTTTTTATTCACATCAAGCTGGAGAAGAAATCCTGACTTGCATATAGCATAGCAGTCTGCAACATTGCCCAGCAGTCATGAATTACATTTAATTTTCAATATATACAGAGAACCACCCCCAACAGAAAAATCAGCGCAGAAATGTGTTTAGGAGCTACTTTACCTCCACACTGACTGAATACTGATAATGGAATGTATTGCCTTTATTCGTTTTTTTGTTATGAATACAATTTTTAGGTAGAAGATAAGGTACACTTGCCACAAGAAAATGAAACAATCTGTTTTTCAAGCTATTACTTTTGTACTTGCTTTGCAATTACAATACAGACACTTTGTCAAATGTCCTCAGATTCCCAATTTGACAAATGGTAGCTTATTCCCTGTCCTTTTCTAAGACATTCTTACCTTTCCCATTGTTCTAAAATATGTCATTCATAAAAGAGAACAATAATAGAAAAGTGTGTCACAGGAAATAAATAACAAAGCCTCCAATTCCAAACTAGTTTAAACATATAAAGTTTGATGAAAACCTGTCAAACATACTATCATTGATAGTTTTATTATAAATCTTATAGGATATTTTATGGTAAATTTGAAGATCACATTGTTCAATTCAACTACATCTTTCCCTACTTCTAATTCCTACTTTCCACTACCCCCTGAAAACAAGGCAATTAAGCAAAATTGTAGATCTAATTATCAAGTAACTACAAAAAGAAATGACATTTATTTCAATCTGAAAATTTGACGGAATAAACACATAAGGGATAAAAGTTCCACATTAAGCAAGCTTTCTCTTTATTGAAAGTGAGTCAGTAACAAAAAAATAAAATTCAGAAGTTAAACTAATGGCTTAAGATTAATCAAAATGTAGTTGTTACATTCTAAAATCCAAGAGAGCTGGGCATTCTCAGGAAAAAGTCCCAAAGCAGGATCTTTTAAGGGACTAGAAAGGCCTCCCCAAGCGGCAACTGCTGAATAATGCTTTGTCACACTAGAGAAACAAACCAGGGCTTGAGATACCTCTATACATACTTTCCAGAAAATTCTAGTCTTTCTGGAACTCCTAATAAACCTCACCAACAGACAATAATAATTTTCACAATCAGATAACAGTAATAAATGAATCTCAGGAAACCACACACTGAAGTTGGAAATGTCCACATGAAAATAGCAATTTCCAGATTTACACATGTTCCCTTTCTGCTGGTATTTTGGATCGCCTGATTCTTTAACATCCAAAGCACCAGATAGAGATCTGACTCTCATTTTATTTTGTGCTGTCCATGTCTGAATAAAGGGGAAATTAATTCCTTAGAAGTTCTCTCTGATCCCTGTTTCTTCATCTGCTCTTTAACAGTTTTGGAGTGAGCACAGCCAGTGGCCGCGCTGTCACGGAAGAGCTGTCACCCGTGGTCACTGTCTGGAATGACTCACCTGAGCAAAGCGACCTGTCTGCATCTCTGCGCCACAGCGGTTGGCTTCCTCCCTTCCTATGGGTCAGTAATTCACTTTTATTCAATGGACATTCGGGTTTTGTACCAAAGCGAGGATCCTGTCATCCTTCCTGAGCTGTTTGGTTGCGTTGTGACGAAGCTCGCGGGAAGACCACTCACCTGGCGCAGACGCTCCCCTGGGTGCCCCGCTCCCAGCGGGCGTCCCGTCGCCTTTGCTGCCGCACAGTATTGGACCTTGGCTGTGGCCTTGATGATGCCATCGCAGTAGACGTCCACGGTGACCACGCCAGCAGGAAAGTCTCATTAAAAACCCAAAGAAAACCAGAAGAGTTAGAAACTGAGTATATAATGCATATGCAAACTATAACATCTTTCAGAGAACATGAAAAAAGCCTTTAAGAATTGATAACAATTTTACTAACCTCTACCACTTAAAATGTTTTTTAATCCTTAGTAGTTAGAAACTGCAAAATCGAACGTACAATTTTGGATTTAATTGCTTTCAAAAAAACTTAAAAGATAAAAACACATGTCAAAATTATAATAAAAGCAAAGCACTGTATTTTTGCTCCCTACTGACTAATGTCCTTTCTAAAATAGTGGTCTATAATCAGTTTTACATAATACTTTAGAATTTAGAAAAGTAAAGCCATTCATCAAAAGTTAGGTGTTCATTATTAATGTTATGTAGAAAATTTTAATTAATTATAGGCAAGTTTCTCAAAATTGTGTTTGGAAAGAGTACAGCTGACTGAAATTATAGAACTTGTATTCAATTGATTATAATGAAAAACTCTGTGAGAGGCAAGGTTTAATGTCCTGATACTTAATTACTATTTATGCTATACATTCATCCAAAGCCTTTTTTGAGAAAAAATTGTTCACAGTGACTGATATAACCCATTGAGAATTCTGCTGTACTATATGAACAGATTTAAAGTTATATAAGAATTTAGGGCTTTCCATGAAATAATAAGATTAAATAATCACTTTAATAGAAAAGTTATTGTATTTAGTATAACAAAAGCAAAAACAAAAATTTAGCTCTTTAAATTCATTTGTAGGACAAGCCATAGAAGCTTTTACTCTGTCACGGAGATATTTCCCAAATTATCCTGGAAAAGTGTCAGCCAACCATCTGGGGTTTGGACTAAGTCATTAAATATAAGAGCTTTGAATATTTGAAAGTTCTTAAGGTTTAAGCATGCATTTTACTTTATCTCATGAAGCTGTTAAAGGGCCTCTTATAATATTGCTCAGGGAAATTTAAAGGCAACAAAAGCACTCTTAAGCTTAACTAGGCCAAGGAGTTGAAATTTCCTCCTCTATGTTGCCTGACTAAACACCTAGCCTGTATTATAAAGATGTGTGTAGCCAAAACAGACGTTCTTTCTTCCAAAAGAAGTATCCAGCCCAATGGAGAATATCAGAGAAACCACAACAAAAAGCTGCAAGTGGTAAGGAGCATCTCTCAGCTAACACAGTGGGCATACGATTAAGGGGGTTGTGGCAAAAACTTAATTTCAGTAGATTTCATTAAGAGGATTTTTTAAATTTAAATGTTGGTTTTATTGTGGCAAGTCATAAAATGATTTTGAAAGAAGATATTAATTTTGTTTATCTGAAAAGAAATTAGGAGTTTTACCAGAGGGAGGTAACCTTCTGAAAGAAAGTCAGGCAACACATCATGAGAGATGCATGGTGAGAAGGCATCTGGAAGTTCTTTGATACAGAATACTTAAAATAGTCCACTTTCTTTAGAATCTAACGTGAAAATGAACTGATTTATTTCTGATATATTGAGTCATTAGTTGACTCAAATCTTCACCAGTGAATCCATTGAGAATGATGTTGGTGTTAGTAACCCTCCAAAGAGATTCCTTTGAAGTACTGTATTTGCTGTGTACACTTTCATATCTGTTGAGTGGCAGTTATTATTATAAATCAAGACCTAATTACTACTCCCACTTGTCTATTAGAGAGGGATTCAGGACGGATTCTTATGGCTGGGAGGCCCTTTTAAATAACTGAATTGGCCTTTTCACGAATACTGCTGGAGCATTATCCTACTTTGTTCACTATGATGACTACATTCTACAGCACTTCAGTAAAAATAAAACCCAATTAGTTTAAGGACACAACTGGAAGAGAGTAAAATAAATTCTGCTATTTGCCATCTAGACTAAAGTAGTCAAGTTAACATTTAACACTGGAAGGGCACACGGATATAGATCAGGATCACCGAACCAAGCAAGGTAACCCTGACAGTCAGCCAGGACGAGGAAAATGGCACACAGTAGAAGGGAAAACTGGAACTCCTTGCCCCATCAGAAATAGTAATACAATAAAGTGTAATTACAGAGAAGCAATGATAAAATGAATTCCATTTCAATTTCAAATCTCAAATTCCAAGCCATTCAAACTTTTTGGTCAACCTTCTATTTCTCCATGATTTAAGTGGTCTGTCCTTCCAGATGAAGTGCAAACTTAAGGAATTTATGAAAACTATAATTCAAATGTACTTCTGAATATTCAAAATATTTCACTACATCCATAAAAATAGATATTTCACCAATCCAATAATTTAGGAGCTCTTTTCCTTGTGTATTTCCATTGTCTGAGAAGCTGTGTCCTTTATGAACCAATTTTAGTTCCTTCCCACATGGTAAACATTAAATGAACCCACTGAATACTTCCATGAGAACTGAAATCAACATGGCTCTGTTTTTATTAGAAGATTATCATTAAATAAAGATAGGGGACTTCAAAACCTGGGTCATGCCTAACAATCAGTATCAATTTAAAATATATTAAAATTGTTTTCCTGAATTATAATATCTAGAAAGATTTATTATCAATTGTTGTTATTTTCCTAAGCAGGTTCAGCATATTTGGCATATCCTGAAGTATTTTTCATGATTTTTGATGCTGTTCTAATGAAATATAAGGTTATAATTTACAATATCCAGAGCACAGTTTCTTAATTAATTAAGAGCTTCTGTGCCTTTGAGGATACATTATGCATTCCTTTCAACTTTTAATTGGTGGTCTCCCTGCTGTGCTAAACTTTTTTTCTAGCTATGCTATAGGTACCAGAGGAATACCCTCTTCCTTCTGCTTAAAAATACTTAAAATTTCTAGTTTAAAACCTTCACACACATTTTCACAAGTTTTGACATAAGTTGGAAGTAGAGTAACTTTAAATTCCTTTAGTACAAAACAGTCCCTGTCAGATACAAACCTAAGGAGACCATTAGGAAGGTGTGTTTTCTAGAAAATGAAGTAATTATATGTGTATCAAGTTATTGAGCTAAGAAGAAAGGGGAAATAGAAAAACTAGAGGATATTTTCTCTAATAAAAATGTCAAGTTAATATGTGGAATTTTGTCAGAAGGAAAAGATGCTACCTAGAAAAACACCATCTAAGGATTTCTTCACTGGTCAGCATAACTGTACTTTAATATAATTTTTGTTTTTTTCTACATTGTTACCAAGTGGAAATATCTGGTACTGGTGCTTTCTTTTATGGAAGGTCTATAATTAATGATTCAATTTCTTTAAGATATAGACCTATTCAGGTTATCGTCTTCTCCTTGTGTGAGTTTTGGGACCATGAAGGGATGGTCCATTTATCTAAGTTATCAAATTTGTGGGCATACAAAATTTGTTGTTCATATGTTCTTTACTATCCTTTTCATGTCCATGAATTAGCAGTAATGGCCTCTATTTTATTCCTGACATTGGTAACCCATGTCTTCTCCCTTTCTTGGTTAGACAGGCTAGAAGTTTATCAATTTTGTTGATCTTTTAAAAGAACCAGCTTTGGGTGTTGCTGAATTTCTCTCTTACTTTCCATTTCATTGTTTTCTGCTCTAATTTTTATTATTTATTTTCTTCTGCTTGCTTTACACTTAAATTGCTCATCTTTCTCTGATTTCTTAAGATGAGGAGAGGTTATTAAATTTTAGATGTTTCTTTTTTCATATTACAGGTTTTTAATGATAAACTTTTCCTGTAAGCACCGTTTTCTCTGCATTCCACAGACTTTAAGTTGTATTATCATTGATTATAAATTATGCTTTGAAGTATGTTTTTAAATCTCCAAATGTTTGAGGATTTTCCAACTATCTTTCTGTTGCTGATTTATATTCCAGTTCTACTGTGGTCTCAGAATATACTTTGCATGATTTATATTCTTTTGCATTGATTAAGGTGTATTTTTAAAGAGCAAGCATGTGGTTTATCTTGGTGAATGTCCCATGTGAGTTTCAGCCCCCATGTGAGTTTCAGAAGACTGTGCATCCTACTGCTATTGGATGGAGTATTCTATAACTGTTAATTAAATCAAGTTGATTAATAAAACTGTTCAGGTCAACTATATACTTACTGACATTCTGTCTACTAAATCTACCAATTACTGAAAGGGAGTATTCAAATCTTCATATAGAATATTGTACTTGTCTATTTCTCCTTTCAATTCTATAAGCTTTTACTTCATATATTTTGACACTCTGTTGTCAAAAGGCATATGTGTTTAGAATTCTTCTGTTTTCTTAGAGAATATATCTTTATCATTATGTAATGCCGCTCATAATATGTGACAATTTTTCTTATTCTGAAGCCTGCAATATATGAAATTATTACAGCTATCCCAACTATCCAGCTTTTGTTTTTCTGATTGGTGTTAGCATGGTATTATCTCGTTCTATCTCTTTTACTTTTGATTTATCTGCGTCTTTATATTTAAATTGAGTTTCTTATAGATGACATGTAGTTGGGTCTTTTAATCCACTCTGGCAAGCTGTGTCTTTTAATTGGAGCTCTTAGACCATTCACTAAATTTAAGTACTGAATACTTGGCTTCAAGTAAATGATTGAGTTACTACCTGCTATGTTTGTAATGGATTTTTATTCCCTGCATTTGTTCTTTGTGCTTTGTCCTTGCCCCAATTTTTTCTGCTCTCTGGTTTATTTGAGAATTTCATAATTCTATTTTCTCTCCTCTTAGCCTATCAATTATATCCTTTTTTTAAAAAAATGGTTGTCCTGGAGTCTGAAATATACATTTTTAACAAATCTAAGTCCACCCTCAAACAATATTATACCACGTCACATGAGTTCGGGTACCTCGTAACAGGATTCCCAGTTCCCATCTCTTGCCCCTTCCGATGTTGTCGCCGTTCGTCTCCCTCACCCATGCTGTGAGCGCCCCAAACACTGTTACTACGTTTACTTCAGACACACATTTATCTTTCAGATCGATTAAGAACAAGGAAAATAAAAGACTTTATTTTTACCAGCACTTATTCCTTCTCAAGTGTTCTTCCTTTCTTTACAATCCATGTTTCTGACCCACATGATTTCCCTTCTCCCCAAAGAACTTTTAAAATCTCCTGCAGGCAGTTCTGCTGCTAATGAGTTCCTTCCTTTTGTGAATTTGCCTGAGAAAGTCTTTACTTCTCCTTCATTTCTGAAGTATAATTTCACTGAATATATAATTTTAGGTTGGTGGGTTGTTTTTTACAATACTTAAAATATTTCACTCCACTGTATTCTTGCTTGCATGGTTTCTGAGGAGAAGTCTAATATAATTATTATATGTGTTCCTCTGGAGGTAAAACATTTGTTTTCTCTGTCTTCTTACACGATTTTCTCTTTGTTTTCAGTATCTGTAGTTTGAATATATCTGGAGTCAATTTTTTATATTTACCTCACTTTGTGTTATCTGAGCTTCCTAAGTCTCTGCTTTGGCATCTGTCATCAATATTTGAATGTTTCTTGTGCTTAATTTTCTCATTCTTCTTCTTGTATTCGAATTACATACATGTTACACCTTTTGAAATTGTTCTACATTTCTTAGAAGTTCTGCGTTTTTTAAAAACAGAAACAATTTCTTTTTCCTCTTTGCATTTAAGTTTGGGATGTTTCCAGTGACCTATTTCAAGTTCAATAATTTTCAATAATTCTTTTCTCACCCATGTCCAGTCTACTAATAAGCCTATCAGTTATTTTTATTTCAGATATAGTATTTTTTTCAGATATATATTTATTTCCGGCATTCCCTTTTGATTCTTTCTTCTTTCACAAATTTTTTCTCTGTTTATATAATCAATATGTTCTTGGATGTTGTCTACTTTTTCCGTGAGAGCCCTTACCGTCGTAATCAGTTATTTAAAATTGCCCCTCTGATAATTTCATTATCTGTGTCTCACCTAAGTCTGATCTGATGCATGCATTGCCTCTTTAAACTGTGTTTTATCTTGCCTTTTGGAATGCATCGGAATATTTGATTTATAACCAGACATATTGTATCAGATAAAAATAATTGAACTAAATAATGCTAGAGTGAAAGAATTTACAGTAACCTGTTTAGGAGTCAGGCTGTATTTAATATTTGCTGTAGTTGTAGGTGCCAGAGGCTTCAAATTCCCCTATAATCCTTGTTTTTGCCACCTTTCTTGGTTTTGTACTTTCCTAAGTACTTTCCCAAGAGAAAGTATGAGTCCTGCAGGTTTGTTTTTTCCTTTAAACAGTAAGGAACAGTCATCACGCTGGAAGCCTGTTGTGGTGGTGACCATTAGGTGGTGGGGCGGGAAATTATTCCATAGTCTCATGATTAAATCTTACTGTTTAGTGATTCTTGGCGGGGCCTTCCTAAGTGTTTTTGCCGTGGCATTGCTTCTCCTACTCCCCCTTAGTGAGCCAGGAAGGTGAGAAAGGGCCACCCTTCCCCAGCGGGGACAAAGCCCCAACACTCCGCTTTCCTCTGGAAAGCTGGCGATGCTGTGGAGATCGTGCAGGGGGCATTTCACCACGATCGTTCTTCCTCTGGCTCAGCCAGAAGCTCCCTGGGCTCCTTCTCAGATCTTTACTATGTGAATCCGGTTTATTCCTGGAAGTAAATCCTACAGAAGTGTGGGTGCCTCCTAAAACTACGGTCCCCAGGAGTCTCTCGCGCTCACAGTAACCTATGCTTGGCTTCAGTAATTCAGCGCAATTGACAAGTAAGTGCTCCCTCTAGTTTGTGGCTCCTGTGACTTCTGCTCTAGGCAGAAATGGATCTCAGATGTCGTTCTCGTGATTCACTTTTCTCTTCTGGTTTTACACAGTGGTTGGCCCTTGCAGGGCTCAGGGCGTGACACCCCGAAGTCCGGAGCCTTGGTGTGCTGAACACTTTCAACTGAAGAAGACTGGAAAAGCTTCAGATGCAGGATCTTTCTGACTTTCTTCCATCCTCCTGTCTCCTACCCCTCTTTCTTCTCCAAAGTCAGTCCTAGAAACCACAATTTCTCTTCTCTAAGGCAGGTCGTAGAAATTAGGACTCGTATTCTCCTAAGCATGCCATGAATCCCCGAACAGGTCTCCCTTCTCCCTTGGGGACCCTCATTTCAGAGCAGTCCTTCCCCATACCTGAGAGGAAACCCCTTACACAGAAAGGCCAAGATGAAGCTGAAGAGACAGGCCTTGCTGGGTCCCTCCCAAGTCTACCACCAACAGACGTGTCTTTTGTTAAGTCACATTTCTATGTGGCGGACTATCATTCATCAAACCTAAGCGTGAGAATGGACAGTTTTTCCTAGGTCTTGGGGTCTTCATTTCTGAAGGCTCCTGTGCCACATAAAACTTGATGAAACATATTTGTTATACTTCTCTCTCGGTAGTCCGTCTTTTGTTACAGGAGTGCCGGCTGTGAGCCTTACAACGGGCGAGGAAAGGCATCCTCTTTCTGCTCCTGTACCCTGCAGCCTTAGTGCTCTGACGGGTTCAAGTTTTTCTGTTTTTAGTTTGTTCAGCTTTTTCTTGTAAAAATGGGCTGTCTATATGTTGAGGTTGAAACCATTAGTCTAAGTATTACTTTTAAACCTTTGCTTCCTTTATGTATTTGTGAATATGTACAGGGGTCATAATGTAAGATGCAGCTCTTACCAGGGTTCAAAACATTTCAAAAACCAGTGCCATGAAGCGGAGAAAAGAATAACCTGGGCCCATTTCCCATCCCCATCCTCAGATAGGCTCATGGTACCATCTTGTATATTGCTACATGGCAACCAACATTTTGGAAGAAAATCTCTTATTAATTTACAGAACATGCCAGTTAAAGAAAGAGAAGTTTAATTAGTACAGCTGATAAATAGTGATTTATTTATGTATTTACTACACATTGCTATTTAACCATGCAGACCATGTTGTGCCCTGGAATAGCTTCAGAAACATGGAATTATAGTTTTTTGCTTTTCTGATAAACAATTTGAACTTCGACATGTTTTATTCTTTGTACTCCTCTTAGCCAGTAGGTATACTTGGCAAAAAATCTGAAGTAATGTGAATAACTATGTTTGACATCTTGGTCTATTTGGGAAATATTATTTAAATACTTCTTAATTTGCAATATTGATTTTTCTATGGTGACTTTAGTCTAACTAGATTTAGTTTAAACTCTGAAACTAATTAATTGGAAATTATTGTTTATTAAATCATTTAAGGATGTGACATATAAAGTAAAGAGCATTGAAACAAGAAAGGAAGAAAAGGAAAGAGACAGTTTTCTGTCATATTCCTTCTGCATATGCTTGTTCACGACAGGAAGCCGTGTCTGAAATGTTTATAGATGCTCACTATAGAGTCTGTCTTCCTTATAATCCAGCTCTAACCTAAGCTGTGCAAAGAAATCCACGAAGGAGAAACATCCTTTGCAGAACACAAATGAAGATCTGCAAATGCTCTGTAAATGGACTGCATAATATCTACATTCTAAAAAGAAAAAAAGAAGCTCAGGATGTGTTTGACACAATCTTTAATCCTAAATGTTTTTACTACATTTCCAAATTCATAATATGATTAAGCATCTTTTTATTCCAAAATATTTTATGAAGTTTTATAAGGTAATTTTATTCTCTAATCATAAAAAGATATCAATAATTTAAAAGCCAAGTAATCTTACATTTATATTAAAATAGTAAGAAAGTAATATATTAGATTTTGATTTCAGTGCAATTATTGTGGCAAGTATGGTTATTCCATCTGGAATTTTAAATCTGATATAATTTATCATGCCTCAAGCAAAAATAGATAATCAAGTGATTAGTTTCATAAATGAAATAAGAAAAAGATGGGGAGATTATATGTAAAAATTATACCATGATGATAAAATAATGAAAAAAATGCTTTCCAGAACAATCAAAAATATACCAGAGGCTTTGGAAAAAAAAGAATGGGAAGGAAGAATAAAGTTTATGAATAAGAATCCAAATATATGCTAATCCTAATGTTGTAATAAAGCAAATAATTTAGTTCCATATTTAATAGTTGGTGTATATTAAAGTGCTCTCTGCCAACATATTTTAAAATGTGTGATGTTACTGGCTGTCATTTTACTACATGGTATGCAAACTAATTTCTCATAATTTACACATTCTTACTTTTGCAAATCCAGATTAATAATAACAACCTTGGGTATGTGAAAACTAAACACAGGAAACACCTGCAGAACAGTATTAGTTTCTGTAGGGAAGTGAAACCATTTATCATAAATTTATTGGAAGGAACTCAGAATGATGTTGTATACTTACTAAAACATAAAAATTCTTACCTAAAGCTTTCATGCACCAGACTTTCTTATTCCAAAGGGTGGGCTGTGTTCTAACTCGCTTGCTATTTGATGTAAATTCAATCTCCACAGTATCACCAATGACTTCATCTCTCAAAATAACGAATATTTCACCAGGATTCTGTAAGATGAAAATGCAATCCAGTTAAGCATTTCAAAAAGTTTGCATTAACCAAAGAACTCAATACATTTATTAATGGTTAAGGTCATGTACTATTATTGAATACCCCTTCTTATGGTGTTTGTAATTTCAACTATATTCACAAGTGACGTATGTAAATGTAATTCTCACTACCTTTTAAATTCATCAGTTTGGTGTTGATTGAATGCTCTTTTCCTCCTCATAGCATGTTTTGCTCTGATAAAACAGTGAGGATATGGCTGCTCCCTTTTCCTCCTGCCTCTTCCCAAGTGCAACTCACCACCCCAGGGCATAAGCATCCTTCCAGCAGGGACTAGAATTCAGGTGTTATCCAAATCTTTCTTCTAAATCCTCATTTCCCACCTTTCTTGAACTTGGTTTCTTTAGTTATAAATGCAGTTATATCTAGATTTAAATTATCTTAAAATTTAACTTTTAGATCTCTTACAATTTAAATATGATTTTTTTTGAAGTCTAGTTGTTTCTTTTTTTTTATAGTAGGTCTCTTGTTAATCTTTATTTATGATGAGTGTCTGTGAAGTTTTTTTCGTTTGCTTAAGGTTTTTAAACTTAAAGTTTTTAGGTTTTATTTAGGTTGGAAGGTTAATTTTTTTTCCTTAGGTTTAAAGGGTTTTTTAAGGACTTCTTTTTGGAAAAAAAATCCAGAAAACATACTAGAGGTGAGAAGATTGGAATTAATATTGAGAGAAGCAAGGAATAAACATTTAATGAGCATTTAATCAGGTGCCTTGCGTTTTCATTTTGCACTGCAAATGAGGTACCAGTCCTGTTGGGACACAATGTCATCCTGCCATATAGTTCCTCATCTCCCTCTCTCTCGTCATATACTGGACATCCAGGTCCAACTTGGCTTTCACCAGCTGCACAAAATCCTCCCTGCACCCTCAGCTCACAAGGAGTTTTAGAACTTTCAAAGGAATACCAGAGCATTTCACATCCATACCCCTCATCTGATCCTTGCTACATCATGCCTCCACTCTTGCTTGGATTTTCATGCCTGTGTCTTGGCTTTACAGCTAGATCTTAAACATCCCGATAGTGTTTTTATTTTCTTATTTTATTATAGAACCTTGCAAGAGTTATGACATAAAAGACTTTCTGTGTATATTTTTAAAATTAAGATGGAGTAAGTCTGTAAAAATGGCATTTTTTATTGAGCATGCTCAGTTTCCTTCCTTCCCTCCCCCAGTACTCGAAGCAGCTTCCTCTGCTTCCGGCAGTGAGCAGCCCGCTCCGGGAGGGAAGAGCTGTGTGATCCTCCTGTCGCCTCCTGAGTACCACTCCCCACCCCATGGAATAAGCATCATTTTAGTAGGCACTGGAATTCAGGTGTTAACCGAATCCTTTTTCTGAATCCTTTTTGATATGCATAAATTTAATTCAATGAAGAAAATATTAGGACATTCAAATGGTCACAAATTTTGTTTTCCCAGTTAGGAAGCTGTTGTTTTGCTCTCAATTTTTCTGCCTCTTCTCTGTATCCCTTATTGGGATCTGACATTCAGGGAGAGAAATGGTAATTATAATTATCACTTCCAAACTCTAAGCTTTGCTGCATTGGTCACAAACCTTGAGACCTAAAGAAAAGCACTGAAATTTGCCCTACACTGTAACAGTTATATCTGAATCTCTGGGGTGGGACACAGGCATTATCGTTTTTTTAATAATGGTACCTAGTGTTCCCAGCATGCACCTCAGTTTGAGAACCACTTGGTTAAAGGAAAGACGTCTTTGGTCACTGTAAACCTTCACCTCCAAGAACGTAACACTTCACAGGATGGATATTTTAGGCATTAATGCATGCAACCATCTTTTGCCTTTTTTATTGTATTTTTAAATTAAATCACAGGATTAGGCTTTAAGTTAAGGTTGCCTATCAAGAGCTAGTTTGTGATTTGGTGTCAGAAGTAAGTGGGTAGTGCTGTTAGCTTTTGCATACTGTCTTAAATGGTATTCAGGGTCAAGGAATGAGCTAGTAAGGAAGTCATCTCAGATTCTTCAGCCCTTGAGAGGCACAGCCTCTCATGCCACCTCAGGGTGTGTCTAGGTCTGCTGATGACGCAATGCCTGGTCTGCCCTGCAGGTTTGGAGACACAAACTACAGGTGCAGCCTCCGGGTGTGTCACCGACAGGTCAGACAAAACTAAGGCCTTTATTAGAGAAGATATCATGTTCTAGGATTCAGATTTTTAAAAAATCAATGAAATTAATATATATCCAAATGCTGACAAGGCCACCTAAAAGGTCTTTTGCGGTTGCCCTATGACTTTAAGAATTAAATTTTCTCAAGAAATCAACAAGTGACTGAATCAGTTTTAAAAATGTTTCCACTTTATTATCAGGACAGCAGCAGTGGGAGAATGAAAATAAAGGAATATGGATTGATTATACTAAAAGTAAGAGATTTTAGGGGGAGAAAAGCAGAGATTGCAGTGGGCAGATTCTACTGAAAGGAAGGAGAAATGACTTAAAGACCTGCCCCCACAGATAAAACAGGACAAAGGAACTAACTCACTCTAAATTTCTCTTTAGACAGTGCTACTGCAGAGACAGTGACAGAAACGGCGGGAGAGACTTCTAGGCATGCAAGCCGGCCTGGAGGGGCCCTGTCGAGGAAACACTTGGAGGCTCCCTTTGACAGCGTCAGGCGACACCTCTAAACAGAGTGACCCGAGTCGCCCTCTAAGGACCAGGCGGTTCCAGCGCGCGCGACTGTGGGACAACGGGAAAGGGCGGGGACAGAGACGCCCCAGGCGGAGCGCTGATTCCGGACACCGTCACCAGGCAGGTCGAAGGGGGCTCTTTATCGCTGGGCGGACGCAGGTCCTGCACTTACAGGTGAGACTGGGTCTTGGCCGCGTTGGCGTGTTGAGACAGGTAGACCACTGAGGCGAGCGCCGCAGGGCGCTGCGCAGCACCCCGGCACCCGGCACCCCGACACCCTGGCACCCCGGCACCCCGACACCCGGCACCCTGGCACTCTGGCATCCGGCATCCGGCACCCCGACACCCTGGCACCCCAGCACCCCGACACCCGGCACCCGGTCCCCCGGCATCCGGCACCCGGCACCCCGGCACCCCGACACTCCGGCACCCAGCCCCCCGGCATCCGGCACCCCGACACCCTAGCATCCCAGCACCTGGCACCCAGGCACTCTGGCATCCGGCACCCCAACAGCCCGGCACCTCGGCACCCCAACACCCCGGCACCCTGGCACTCCGGCATCCGGCACCCCAACATCCTGGCACCCCGACACCCCGGCACTTTGACACCTGGCACCCCGACAGCCCAACACCCGACACCCTGGCACCCCGGCACTCCGGCATCCAGCACCTCAACAGCCCGGCACCCCGACACCCCGGCACCCCGGCACCCGACACCCCGGCACCCCGGCACTCCGGCATCCGGCACCCCAACATCCTGGCACCCCGACACCCGGCACCCCGGGACCCCGGGACCCCGGCACCACGGCACCCGGCACCCTCCACCCCGGCACCCGGCACCCCGCACCAGAGCCGGGCAGCAGCGTCCCGGCCGTCAGCGCGGACGCCCTCAGGCTTTGCCGGGCGCCCCATCGCAGGGGACAAGAGCGCCCCAGCCGAGAGCCGCCGTCCGAGGGAATCTGCTGGGGAAGCTGGGCGGGTCAGGGCCTTGGCTGACTGGCCGCGCGGGGAAGAGCGTCGCCAAGAACAGCGCGGGCCTGTTCTGGTCTAGCTGCGGTCCTGGGAGCGGACCGGCGAGGACTGCCCACGGGAGCGGACGCCCGCGAGGACTTCCCACGGGGCGCGGACCGGCGAGGACTTCCCACGGGGCGCGGACCGGCGAGGACTTCCCACGGGGCGCGGACCGGCGAGGACTTCCCATGGGGCGCGGACGCCCGCGAGGACTTCCCACGGGGCGCGGACCGGAGCGCGGGACTTGGCGAGGGCGTGTGCTAGGACGGAAGTCGCGGGCCCTAAGGAGAGCACCTGACAGCAGCCCAGAGCAGGTGCGCCGATTCTGCGGGACGGGAGACCCGGCCGGAAGCCGCGCGCGTGGCTGTCCCGCGCAGGCGGAGCGACCTGCACGCCACCGCGCGTGTCTTCCCGGCGCACGCAAAAGAGCCGAAGAAAGAAAAAGGGGTTTTCTGCCATTTTTAAAGTGGCACAAAATTTTCGAGGCCTCGGAAACCCGAAATCTGCGGAAAGGACCGGCGTGGGAGGGGGCGAGGGGACCCACGGGAGGGCGGGGGCGGCGGCGCCCCAGGACCCGCGCGGACCGGCGCGGAGCCTGCAGAACCGACGCCCTCCCAGGGCGCGGCTTCCGTGGCGGGCTCCGCCGCAAACGTGCAGCCCCCTGTCCTGCAGAGCAAAGGAAGGTCGCGCCCCGTGCAGAACCCACAGTCCGCTGGGAGTCGGCAAACTGGGAGCGCGAAACCACAAAGCGAGAGGAAGGGTTGCACGCGCTGGGTGTGCACAGGCGCATCTCACACCAGCCCCGGGCCTGCAGGGGACACGCGAGTCTGCGCCTTGCAGGGCGGCAGGGCAGCCTGGAGCGTCCCTCCCGCAGCTTCGAGAAGCAAGCGTTCTGAGCGGTCTCGCCCGCCCGCTGCTGGGCGGGCTTCTGAGCACTGAGTTTAAGTCCACAGGTTGTGCTTTCAGACAGCTGGCAGACACGGGACAACGTCTTGGCAGATCTGAAATGCAGGTTTCAAACGGTTGGCTACAGAAGGGCTTTTCTGTGGTGCTTGTCAATAGTCACACGGATTTAGATCGTACTAGATTGAGGTTTTGCCTGGGATAACTATTTTTGGTCCAAGGATTAGCTCATTTTGAATTTTTAGAATGTAGAGCTGGTGTTAAAATAATCCTGTGTAGCCTTTCAACTTTTAGAGTTCTTTAAAAATTGGGGTACCCAGAAAACATCTGATATTTAAATAATTTAACTTCAGAAGAGCTGAAAGAATTACATCCATGTTAATAAAAAAAAAATCCCATAATTCTGCTATTGAAAGAACCCCTACCCTAACTGGCCGTCTGCAGAAGATATCTGACTTCTGGACTTTGATTTCTTTGCTATTTTAGTAACAAGAAGGTTTTATAGTGCTCCAATTTTACTGTTGAAGGTATTTTTTAAAGCAGCTATTTAGACTCTCTGCATAAATCCTGGTGAGCTATTTTTAGCTTCAGAGGGTTTTCTTTTTCTTTCTTTGATCTCACCTACTTGAGAGTAGTAGCGATTTCTCTTTCACTGTAGGTCTTTTCTGTCTCCTCCACTCTTTCTGGCTCAGTAGGAGCCACCACTATGTGGACTCATCCCTTCCTTAAGTTCCTGGGTCCTTTAAATGAATTGTGATTTTCTTTGCCCGATCATCTGGGTCGGTTCCCTTGAACCTGTAGACTGTAGAGTCCAGGTTCCTGGGGTCTCTAAGACAGTGTCAAAGCATTTTTTGTTACTCTGGAACCGACAGCAAAATGGCTTGAAATAGGGATTCTTTCGGTCAGGCAAGCAGGGCGGGTGTGGAGTGAGGGGGAGGGATCAGATTTCACCCCACTACCCGGGTCCAGCTCCCCTGGGCACTGCGGGCACCAGCAGGATCGGGGACCCCCCCCAGACGGGCTGCGATGAGCGCTGTCGTCTGGTCCTGTAAATTCCCTGGCTGCTATCCGAAGGGCCCTATGTGCGACTCCCATGCGGGTCTCCAGTTTCCTCGGCTTTTCCACTTAAGGCCACCACAGACATTGAGGCCAGCATCGCTTTACTGTCCCAACATTACACAGCCAGAGATTCGGCAGCTTATGCTAGTGGTTCACTCCAAGGAAGACTTAGGGAGAAGAAATGTCAGAAATATGTATTTATAAAGTCAACTTCCCAGGAATCCTTTCCCCACACGATACTTTTATTCTCCAAAGGACTAGCTCTTCTAACTTTTATGACATTTCCACTTAATGTCAGCCCTTAATATATGTTCTATAATTGAAAAATTGGTGAACCTAAAAGTAAATATTTTAAAATTGTATTCAAGGGTATGTTTTCCTTTATGAAACTAAACCCTTGATCTGTTGAATATGGATCTAACTTTCTTTTATTAATAATTAGTTGATATATAGAGAAATTGTATATGTTTGCAAACTATGAAGTTACAATTGGTAACATTGGGCTTTCCTATATTCTCCAGTGTTCAATTATCCAACAACCATGCATCAGATGCCAACTATTTGCCAGACAGTGTTCTGGTTCCGGGGACACAGTCAGGGACAAAGTAGACAAAATGCCAGCTACGCAGGGGCTCATGTTCCTGTGAAATGCAGTGTCTATTACAACAGCAGGGACACTTAAATAACAAGAAGTCTTCACTGACCTCACAGGGAATCTCGGCAGGAAGCACCATGGCCAGTGGTTCGGTGCTTCTCGGAGCTTCCGGCAATTCTTCAGTTTTCCTTCGTCTTTATTTCCCTAGAATTTCACTCTCAGGTTCGTTGGAATGTCGCCTCAAGGTAGTCTTCAGACCCTAAGAGAAAGTTATGAATTCGAGTATATATAACAAAGCCGCATTTATTATCCCATCGTTATAAAGAATAATTGTGAACAATTGATTTATTAAATATATGGGAAAGCCAAACTGAGTTTAGATAGCTGAAATAATTGAAAAATGTTAATAATGAAATATACTTACATTTAACTATGTTATAATCTTATGGCTAACTAAATAACTATGTATATCTGTTATCTACTAGTTAAATGTTTTCAAAAAAATCCAGCTTATTTTTATTTCTCTTAATATTAAACAGTAATTTTATAAAAACATAATCCATTTCTTCTTTCCACGATGGTTAATAAGAGAGTGTACTTAAATCAGAAGAGTTATTTACCCTTTATATGCATTTTCTATTTCTAAAAACCAAAAGCATAATTGTGGACAATTCTAATAAATGAACCTAGCATAGTCTATAAAATACTACTTTAGTATGAATATTATACTAATTATCACAAAATGTTAATCTTTCTATGAAAATAAGATTTCTATCAAGTAAACTGGGTTTCTTTATGGCAGTATTAATGAGCACTGAAATATACTATTGTGAATTTTGAGTCTCAAAGAAGGGCTAAAGTATTTGATTTTTTAAAAATTTAAACATTTCATCATTAGCATTGGGGCTTAATCATTAAGACACTGTTTTTTGTTTTTGTTTTTGTTTTTTGTATTGAGACAGAGTCGCACTTTGTTGCCCAGGCTAGAGTGAGTGCCGTGGCGTCAGCCTCGCTCGCAGCAACCTCAAACCTCAAACTCCTGGCTCAAGCAATCCTCCTGCCTCAGCTCCCAAGTAGCTGGGACTACAGGCATTCGCCACCATGCCGGCAATTTTTGTATATATTAGTTGCCAATTAATTTCTTCTATTTATAGTAGAGACAGGGTCTCCTCTTGCTCAGGCTGGTTTTGAACTCCTGATCCTCGGCACCTCCACCCGCCTTGGCTCCCAGAGTGCTAGGATTACAGGTGTGAGCCACCGCGCCAGCCAAACACTGTTCTCTATTGGGAAAAAAATGTTAAGAGAGACAGATCTTTTTTTTATTATTCAATGTTTCAAAGCCCAAAGTGTTTCCTTAGGGCACAGAACCAATGTGGCTGAAGTTAAGACTCTCACAACAAGAAGGTCACATGTGTAGACTCTTAGGCCCACTCAAAAGAATTCCTCAAATCCCCACAGAAGGGGACTGGAAACAAGAGACGCAGCCTGTGACAGCATGACGCTGGCCCCGTGGTGTGATAAGGCCTTGGCCACCTGGCACTCACAGCTGGGCTCTGCTATTCTACCGAACACCAGCAACTTCGTGGAACATCACAATCAGGCAAGGTCGCTCTGTCACCATGATGGATCACGACAGAGACAGGACTACTCTGTAGTCATATTGGAATACATGCAAAAACACGAACATTGCCCAAACCACAGAAATGACCAAACAGCCCGAATCCTGGCTAATATGAGTAACTGTCGCTTCTTTCCCAATTCCAGCTGTAGCCTCTTTGCATTTCTCCTGCCTTATAAATGGATGACCTACTCCTCCTGGTTTGTCTGGGATTTTCCGGATTTGGGCACTGAAAATGCCATGTTCCAGGAACCCCCTCAGTCTCAAGCAAATGGAAACAGTTGGTTATATATGAAATCACAAAATTACTCCTGTTTCCTGATAGCGAGCAAATTTACCAAAGCCCTGTTTCCTTAAACCATCCCTGAAATCATTTAAAAGAAGCCTAAATAACTTAAGTCTTTCCTAATATCCTTTTATTAAGACACCCCATGGTTCTCCACAGTGTGCCTTCTCTTCATTGCAACTACCAAAAAATCCAAATAGTTCAAACACAGGTATATTCCTGGTGGTCTTTGGCTAAACGGCATTGAAAGAATCAAAAGGAAGAAGAGTCAAAGACTATAGAGCCAGAAATAACAAGAATTTTGGTCTCACTGTACCCAAAAAGGTGGAGTCACCAGTTCCATATAAGCGACTCTATCAGAAAAGCAAAATAACAAAGGAGATTCCCCCTGGAGAGGCGCTGTCTCCATGCCGTATCTAAGAAGCAAAGGTTTTTTTCTTTTGTTTCTGTCTTATGAAAGTTGAAAAATTAAGGCAGAAAAGCACCTGGGATTTCCAGATTTCTCCCCATATTAGTGTCATTGGAAATGAAAAACAGGCTTTATTTCTCTAACAATTTCAAACACTTTCATAAGCAGTTCTCATTCCCTCTCTCTCATACACTTACACACTCACATACACACACTCACACACTCTCACACACATTCACACACTCACACTCACACACACACTCACACACACTCACACTCACACACACTCACACACACGCGCACACACACTCACACACATGCACACACACTCACACACACTCACACGCACACACACGCACACACTCACACTCACACACTCACACACACACTCACTCACCCACACTCACACACACTCACACTCACCCACACTCACACACACTCACACACACACACTCACTCATACACACACTCACACACTCACACACACTCACCCACACTCACACACACACTCACCCACACTCACACGCACTCACACACTCACACACACTCACACACACACTTACACACTCACACACACACATACACACACTTACACACACTCACACACACTCACACACACTCACCCACACTCACACACACTCACACTCACACACTCACACACACTCACACACACTCTCACACACACTTACACACTCACACACTCACACACACATACACACTCACACACACACACACTTACACACTCACACACTCTCACACACACTCACCCACACTCACACACACTCACACTCACACACATTCACACTCACACACTCACACACACACACCCACACTCACACACACTCACACACAAATCAAAATAGTGAAAGGTTATTTAAAATAGGAAACTGATTTTATTTCATACACCTTAAAAGGAGGAGAAGTTGCTCCACCACGTCAGTATTTGGGATTTTCTGCTAATTTTTCAGTGCTATTAGGTTAAGAAGAGCTATTGTATTTACTCTATTATATATATAATATTTACTATTATGTATATTATGGGGACATAATCACAGATGTACACGAAGATTTATGTCTACAAATGTTTACAGAAGCACTGTTTATAATACTGAAAACCGGAAGCAGTCTAAGCAATAAAGGACCAGATAAAAATATGCTTTGTGATATAAGATGTTAATAAAAATTTTTATCAAAGAATATTTAACAAGGAACAGGTTTACGATGTAACTGAAAAAAATCAAGTAGCTAAATTGTCAATTTAGTAGGTTCTCATTTTAGTAAAATAAAAAGTATACATGTACAGAACTATGTGGTAGGAATTAAAGACATATTCTTAAATGAATAAGAATAAACTATACAAGTATGAAAATCTCAAGAGTCGTTACTTCTGGCTGTGAGATACGAGTGAATTTCTTGTATAGATAGATACAACTAATAATACCTAATAACATAGTATATGTAATATGTTATTTTTCTGCATTAAAATGCACTTATTTTACATATTAAACTATGTATGTACATTTAGGCAGAGAAATGAATTGATCAGATTGCAGACTGAGAACATGTATCTATTCCTCTTTTCCACAACATGTAAATGAAATAATAGAAAAGAGTATTTTTTTAAAAATACGTGTATTACAGCACTAGAGATTGATAAATGGTGCCATTACATGAGAACAATTTTTGAGGGGTTATTGAAAAATGAAAGTTAATCTGGAATTAGATGAACAGAGATACCAGAGCAGAAAAAACAGAGCCCAAAACATCTTTGGAAAAGATAATTCCACATATTAAATTAGTTTTTCAAAACTAATTGGTTTCCAAAACTCAAGAAACTACAAACTGAAAATTCGAACGGCAAAGGCAGTCCGGGACAGGGACGACAGGCGAGAGCGGGGCCTGGCGGGGACGGCGGGCGCGGGCTCTCCCGCTGCTCCTGCTCGGCAAGGGCGTTTTGCTTCCGCCCTGGGAATGCAGCCCTGGACTAAAAAAAATACAAGCTTGGGCCGGGACTGGATACGGCGGCGGAGTAGAATCCGGCGTATTTCCCGACCTCCCCACAGACGGCAGAGAACGGAAATGACGCGGGAAGAGCTGGCCTCTGACTCGCTGCGGGCGACGTCGGTGGGCGTCACGCCCTGGTGCGTAGCGGGTGTTCTGGCCGGAAATCTCCACGGGAGGAGCCACAGCTATTAACCACAGTGATTCCCACGGAAAACGCAAGCCGTCACCCCAAATCACCCTTGTCCTCTTCTTCTATCCTAACATCCACAACTCATCCCTTCTTCTTTTAACGCGCCTTTTCCTTCCCACCCACACTTCAGTCAACCTGCTCCCCAGACAGCGCAGGGCCTGCAGCTCGGAGCGGGCCCCGACCCGGTGCGGACTGGATGCGACTGCCAGCCTCCACCTTAGCCAGACCCACTGAGTCAGAATCGCACTTCCGAAGAGCTGCCAGTGATTATTAGTACATGCATTGATGTTCGAGAAGCAGCCTGGAGTAACAGTAACTTGTACGCTTGGATATAGACATCTTTGCCATATCATAGCAATAAACCGTTAACGAAATTATAGCATGATTTATCTGTTTCTTGTTTCCCTGTCTACCCCATTTAGAATGCAAGCTTTTTAGTTCAGGGCAATTTTTTTTTGGTTAACCTCTATATTCTCCAGTGTATACAGTAGTGGCCTGGAGATAGTAGAGGCTTAATAATATTTGTTGCCTAGTTAGAAGAAATCACCATAGCTTAGAAGGTACTAAGCTTACTCTTGATATCTTACAGCATTTTTGTTAGACTATTTTTGAGAGTTGCTAAGACAACTCTCAAGTTATTCCTGCCAACATGGTCTAATGAAGCAATGAGCTAGAGGAATCAAAAGATCGTTAATGAAACAAGAACAGCCAATTATATTCTCTCTGAAGACAGTTCAGACATGTATCAATAG